TTACACTTATAGATACACAATTTGAACTCTCTCTTTGAGCCCTGCAGTTCTCCCATCCAAGTTAAACAGTATAGATGAAGGAATCTCCCCTGTAGGCTTTTGAATTCAGCAGCTAGCGGGTCTGTATTTTACATGCGTAACTACTATGAATAAAAGCTTCTGCGTCCAAGCGCACTAGAGACTTAAAGCTTTTAGAACCTAGATCTTATGGTCAGCAACTACAATGAGCATTGTGGATGTTTCATGTCATTGGAGCCTACTGCTCTCTGCATCATTGAGTACCGTTCAGAGCAAAGACAGAGCACTCTGCATGTCACATGACTGGCCTAAATTGTAGACTGGTGGTGAGAAGAGGGTGGAGTTGGACTTTAAAAAAAAGAAAAAGAAAAAGAAACATGGTCTGTGACCACTCTATAGTTAAAACATTTTTAGTTATACAGTTAAGCAAGTACAAAAAAATTATGGTGATATATGGCAGTAGTTGCGCCTCCAGCTTTTTTCCTCCTGGGCCTCCAGCCAGCTGCTGATCCATTAACCTCCCACAGTGCCTCCCAGGTCCTATAGGGCTCCAAACCTTACATAATTGCCCATAGTGCCCCCCAGCCTGCTGGAGAACCTTCAGTCCCCCATAGGGCCCTAAACCATTAGCAGTGTCCCACAGTGCCTCCCAGGTCCATTAGTGCTCCTAACCTTACATAATTGCCCATAGTGCCCCCTAGCCTGCTGTAGAGCCTTCAATCCCCCATAGGGCCCTAAACCATCAGCAGTGTCCCACAGTGCCTCCCAATCTCCCACAGTGCCTCCTAGCGCCCACAGTGCCCTCCAGTCTTTCACAGGGCTCTGCAAAGCCCCCAGCTTCATAAAGAGACCTCAGTATCTATAGGGCCATCAGGTCTGTTGCAGAGTCCCCTAACCCCCTCCAGAACCCCCATCCCCCCCAAAATGACACCCAGGCCCATCCAGAGCCTTCCAGCATTTTAATACCTATTTTGCCTTTACATACTTTTACTGTGTGAGTATAAACTACCTACTGTTGAGGCATGAAAGGTTTTGGCTTTTTGGTCTCAAAAAAAGGGAGGCACAGTGGGACATTCTTGGAGGTTGATGGCACTTAAAGAGTGCTGGAGGATTGGGGTCACTGTAGAGGCTTTGGGGGCACTGAGCATTCTCAGCAGGGCTAGGGGCATTGTGGGCAATTATGGGAGGTTGGGGGCATATCTTTTACTTTCTGAGTACAATAGCCAGCAGGGGAAACTCCTTCATTTATTCAATAGCCAGCAGGGGAAACTTGGATGATGTAAATGCAGAGCTCAACAAAAAAAATTTAAAAAATGTACCCAAAAGGTTTGGGAGGTTTTGGAAGAATTTATTGGGCCCTGTTCTCAGTGAGGTTAAAAACCACTGATCTATGGCATACAGTGTAGACAGGTATGTAGGTTGGATCAAAGATACTGAAACTGAAATAGCTGGACAGAGAGCATAAACCTGGGAAAAGGGCAACCATACTAAAAAGGCGAGGTTTGGTGGACATGGAAAAGCTTACACCATGGCAAAAGAAACAGGTCCTTTGAGATGAAAAGTACAAGCTGCTCTGCTGAGGGCCACATATACCTGCATGGTGATGCACAGATGTCCCATGCAACCCTGTGCAGGCAGTCCCATTGCAGTCAATTGGAACACAGTAGCCACACGGACACAGCCGCTGTGATGTGACATCCTCTTTTATTGACTTTTAACTCCAATGAGCTTCATCATAGTCATGCTAAATGTAGTGGTTGTATAAGATGCCCAGCAGCTCAGATTTCAGTCTTGCACTTTGTATATGGTCAAGGTGACAGCAGTGAACATCTGAATATGGTCAAGGTGACAGCGGTGAACATCTGAATATGGCCAAGGTGACAGCGGTGAACATCTGAATGTGGTCAAGGTGACAGCATTGAGTACCTGAATATGGTGAAGGTGACAGCGGTGAGCACCTGAATATGGTGAAGGTGACAGCGGTGAGCACCTGAATATGGTGAAGGTGACAGCGTTGAGCACCTGAATATGGTGAAGGTGACAGCGTTGAGCACCTGAATATGGTGAAGGTGACAGCATTGAGTACCTGAATATGGTGAAGGTGACAGCGGTGAGCACCTGAATATGGTGAAGGTGACAGCGTTGAGCACCTGAATATGGTGAAGGTGACAGCGTTGAGCACCTGAATATGGTGAAGGTGACAGCGTTGAGCACCTGAATATGGTGAAGGTGACAGCGGTGAGCACCTGAATGTGGTCAAGGTGACAGCAGTGAAGTGTCCTTCACGGGGGTATGCTTTATATACATCCCGTGTGCATGAGGCCTTATGAAGAGTTGGAAGGTAGAATCAGGTGTTCACCGCTGTCACCTTGATCATATACAAAGTGCAAGACTGAAATCTGAGCTGCTGGGCATCTTATGCGATCACTGCATTTAGCATGACTATGATGAAGCTCATTGAAGTTACAAATCTATAAAAGAGGAAGCACATCTTACATTTTGCTGATTCTGCTTTTCAGACAAATCTTGGCCTCAAAACATAAGCATATTTTTCTAGAAACCCAACTTCTTCTTTTGCTGTTTACAGAATGATGAATGCTGAACTACGGGGAAAATATGAAACTGAACTACGGGAACAAGGGTTGAATTGGTTATTTAGTTTAGGCTTGCAGAGATAAGGTGTAATAGTTACCATATTCCTGGCTCCAGCAGGCTTCCTCCATCCATGTGACTGGTCCAACACCCTGTACTCTAAGGAGCTTCAGGTCGCAGTTGCAAGTTTGCCTCCTTGCGTACAGTCAAAGGTTTACTGTACGTGATGACACCAAGTTACAGGCCAAAGTCTGGAGCTTCAGGTAAGAGAACAGTGCTGAAGCATACCAGACTGAGGGTAGAGTAAAGCCTTGTACACACAATGAGAAAATCCAGAAAGAGAGATCTTTTTGCCCCGGTACAAATCATTAGTAAGACCCAGGGGCGGACTGACAACTCATGGGGCCCCCGGGCAATAGGGGATCATGGGGCCCCTGTGTCCTTGCCCAAACTCAAAAAAGCCTATGAAAAAGGTACCAGGGGCATCTCATGGGGCCTCCTACTGACCCGGCCCTCGAGCAGTGCCCGAGTTTCCAAATGGTGCCGATGTGAATCTCATGCAGTTCTCCTTCACATGTGGGTCCTGCTGGACTTGATTGCTGTGCAAATTCAGATCAATCATGATTCAATTCACGTGGTTTTAGCAGTTGAGGGGAAGGTGTGCTGTAGTCCCCATCACACTCAAGTGACTGATATATAGGGGGTTTCGCTTTATGATTTATATCACAAACATTATATGTGTCATTTTTTTTTTTGCAAAAGTTTGCAAACGTTTTCACTTGAGAGGGAGGTGTATTGTAGCAGTAGGCAATATGGTGGTTGCACTAACGCATGGGTGTCAAACTGATGGCCCTCCAGCTGTTGCCAAACTACAAGTCCCATGAGGCATTGCAAGATTGACAGTTACAAGCATGACTCCCAAAGGCAGAGGGATGATGGGACTTGTAGTTTTGCAACAGCTAGAGGGCCGCCAGTAACACATTTATTTAAGTGATAGGTGCATTGACACAAGGAATGCACTATTGGAAGTTTCCATTTTTTAGAGTTGAGATCATACAATTATACATCAAAGAGGGAGGTGTATTGTAGCACCACACACCACTTTATTATTGATTCTCAAACACACACATCATTTCTTTAATGGGTGTCTCACAGTTTAGGAGTGGCAGCGCAGCATCCCAATTGTCGAACTGCTAAAACTCCCACACAACCTTTTTCCAATAACGCACTGCAGATGTACCACACATATGTGAACGCCTTGCAAAGGAATCCATTCTTTTTCTGTGGTCATGCGAATCCGCCTACTAAAACGCATCCAAAAATGGACATATGTGAGCCAGGGCTAATACATCATTTAATTTTTAATGGAAAGCAGTGTAAGTACCTGCATGTGACCTGGTACCATCCTCCTATAGTTCCACTACAGCAGAGCTAGTGTGTGAGAGGAAGAAGCCGTATTATCAGGAGTGACAGATCAGCTCATCACTGAGCTGCTTCTCCTCTCACTGTCCAATCATAGGCCAGGGTTCTGGATAAAACTGTGCTGCCATTGCAGTACATGTGGAGGATCAGGCTATAATGTATGGCTGGAGTGCCTTATCACAACATTGGCTATACAGCAGGGCAGTGGCATCCCTAGGCAGGTGCGGGGGGGGTGCGCGCCCACACCGGGTGACACCTACCGCACAGGGTGACACCGGACTCGCTCCACGAAAAGGTAAGTTGTAAAGCAAGACGACGATCCGCGCAGGATGGATCAGATCTGTGGATTGAGCATAATGGATCGGAGTCTGATCCATTATGCTCCCCAATCCGCAGATCCGATCCATCCTGCGGGGATCGTCGTCTTGCTTTACAACTTACCTTTTTTGTGGAGCGGGTCTGCTGTCTCCCCGTATAGGTTGCATGCCAACGATCCCTGCAGGATGGATGGGATCTACGGATTGGGGAGCATAATGGATTGGACTCCGATCCATTATGCTCAATCTGCAGAACCGATCCATCCTGCGGGGATCGTCAGCATGCAACCTATACTGGGTGACACCGGACCCGCTCCACGAAAAGGTAGGTTGTAAAGCAAGACGACGATCCCTGCAGGATGGATCCATTAGTAAGTCCGATCCATTATGCTCAATCCACAGATCCGATCCATTCTGTGGGGATCGTCGAAGGGGGTGTCACCAAGTGTTATCGCACCGGGTGACACCAACCCTATGGACGCCCTTGCAGAAGGGTAAACGTCTTCCGTATATCTGTTTTTTACACGTGTAATTACCTCTTGCCTACCATGAATAATATCTACTGCATCCTAGCTTCCTCACAATCTAACTAGGGCTAGTGCAATGATTGTCTATAATTACAATTATATGAATAAATATTAATATGTGATCATGAGAACAGCAGAATCTCTTTTCTTTTTGCAGAATGTGGCGTATATACTGTATAACGATCAGCCTCCTCGCGACATAAGCGATGAAGTGCGTGGCCACACCAAAGGTATCCTCGTCATTCCCTACATTCTGCCTATGGCTGAACATGTTATTATATTATCAAACTGATTTTTCCTTTATAATATGACTGATCTTCAAGCCACGCAAAATGTAATATTTCAATTTTTGATGGATGTTGAGAACGGGGTATTTCAGTTTGTTCTATGCCTAACATCTCTGCAAATGAGTTGGGGTCAGGCTCTGTTCACATGAGTGTGACTTTGGACATATAAAGTTTCATGACAAGCCCAATGGCACCCATTCCAGTCTGCAACTTAAAAAAGGTTCCTGCCAGGGGCGGACTTACCATTCGGGCACTCGGGCACTGCCCAAGGGCCTGGGGTCAGTAGGGGGCCCCATGAAATGCCCCTGGTACTTTTTTTTTTTTTTTATAGGCTTTTTTGGGTGTGCTTTGAGTGTGGGCAAGGACACAGGCCCCATGATCCCCTATCACCTGGGGGCCCCATAAGTTGTCAGTCCCCCCTGGTTCCTGCACTATGCTATAGGGGCGTTTGGCAAGAGTTAGAAAAAAGTCAAGTGTGAACGAGCCTTGAAAGTATCCTAATACCTATGCTTACAAACCTGTAAGAAAGCTATATATACATACTTATTTTCATGCCACTGTGGTTCGGTCATGTGATCCATTCTCCTGTGACAACCAGTGGCGGTTTCAGGGGAGAGGAGAGAGCGTTCTGGCATCAGCTAGGAAAGTGGGAGCGGTGACATCACCCTTAGGCTTCAATGGCCCATCCATTGTCAGAACTGCCTCTTCTTCCCTGCAGTGGCAATGGCCAACACAGGGGAGCTGGATCATGCAGTGGCCTGAGAATAGGTAAGTATATCCATCTTTCTTACACAGATTAGTAAGAATAGGTATTAGGAGGAGGGAGTGGATAGTTTTAGAGTAGTTTGGGTTATCCTGGTATTCCACTTTAATTATTGCTTCCTGGTGGGCCTTCTGCTTCAGGTTGTGGGCAGGCCAGGGGCAGACTGACAACTCATGGGGCCCCTGGGCAATAGGGGATCATGGGGCCCCTGTGTCCTTGCCCAAACTCAAAAAAGCCTATGAAAAAGGTACCAGGGGCATCTCATGGGGCCCCCTACTGACCTCGGGCAGTGCCCGAGTTTCCAAATGTTCAGTCCGCCCCTGGGGCAGGCCCTCCTCATCCTTGCGTACATTGCAGGACTACTGGTCCTGCATTGCACTTGATGACATCAGAGTGCAGCTGCCGGGCCGGAGTGCCTAAGAGAAGAGGCTTTATGGGGGGGACTGTTGCTCAACATGAGAGCCTGCCCGAGCACAAAATAAGATGTATTACAACTTCTTCCTCTACCACTAGATTTATTAAGCAATTATCTCTCGACGTATTGGAGGAGGGGAGATGGGCTAGGGCCACTGCAAGGGCAATTTTTTTTTTTTTTTTTTTTTCTAAAAATGCCAACATTTTTGTCCTGTCAACTCCTTGGCCTTGCTAAGAAGCTGGGAGGTAGGTTGTGAGATCTGGGACAATCTGTCAGCAGACTAATGAAATTAGAAATGGCATTGTACTGAGATGTGGAGAAACAAGTTATACTTGTAAAACCCCAGGTACCTGTAAGGGTTACATAATTTACTTTTCCTGAAGCGCACCACCAACATTTTCTGTTCTCAACATTCCCTTAGGTGTGATTCTCCTGGACAAAGAAAGTGGCTTCTGGCTGGTACACAGCACCCCTCACTTTCCCCCGTCTGCTTCTTCCCAGTACGACTGGCCCAGCAGTGCTCATCACAATGGTCAGAGCTTCATCTGCGTCACCTACCCATACCTGCAATTCAAAGAAGTCGGTGAGGAACTGAAAAGGGGTTGAAGAAATGGTTTTATGAAGCTGATTGGCCTAGACCAGTGGTCTCCAAACTGTGGCCAGATGTGTCCTTTTGCTAGCCTTTATCTGGCCCTTGTGGCACTATTTCACCAACTGACGCCAATAATGAAGCCCTATCCCCCCTACTAACACCGTCAATGGGGCACTTCTCATCGATATCAATGTGATATTATTCCTCCTATTGAAACCAATGATGGGGCACTGATAATGGGGCATTTTCTACTCCCACTGGCCAGAGTCTGGCCCTCTAAAACCCGAAGGACAGTGAAGTGGCTCTTTGCTTTAGAAAGTTTGGAGACCGCTGGTCTAAAGAGGGGAGGGCCAATGAGGAGTTACTTGAGCTGGGAAGAGAGGCAAGAGCATCAAAGAATGAAGGTGAGTAATGAAACGAGGAATCGGGAGTGGACAGATTAAATCTGAATTCCAGGTATTGACTGTACTGCAAGTATACATATACCAAACTGGTATAACTGCTGTGGAAATGGAAAATCTCCATATTACTCACTGCTGTTACAGTGATCGCTGCAAGTTACATTGTTACAGCTTGATTCAATGTAATTATGCATGTTCCAACCCTGTGGAAGCTGAAAATCCCTCATAGTAGTTGATGCTGCTACAGTGATCACCACTGTCTTCCAGGTCCGGGGCCAAGTGATTACCTGGAGTAACCACATGGGGCAGCCTTCTCAGGGCAGGCTCAATTCACAGAACGCCTTGCATTTTTCTCAATGATTGCAAGGTATTCTCTGACTGAAAGAGGTGGAGAGGTGAGGCAGTGATGTTACTACCTCTTCCAATCAAAGACTGCCTTGCATTCACTAAGGGAAATGCAAGGTGCTCTGTGAAAGGCACTTGTGCCGAGCTGGCTACCCCATGTGGTTACTATGCAGGAGGGCAGCCATTTGGCAGGGAACCTGGAAGACAGCAGCAATCACAGTAATCAGTAACTGTGACTTCTACAGTGATTTTCAGCTTCCACAGGTATGGAATATGCATACTTACATTGCTCCAATCTGGACCAATGTAACTACATAATAAAATCATACCTGGGATTCAACTTTAATGTAGAGGTGCCATTGATTGGTAATAAAAAAGCAGCAGTAGTCAGCAGTGGTGTATATAGGTTTTGTGCTGCCCTAGGCAACACAATAATCGGTTGCCCCTCCCTCCCACGGAGAGAGCATGACACCAACCAACACCACCTCCCCCCGACCCCCCACCCGAGAGAGCCTTCCACTACCACCACCCTCCATACACCGGCCACCCCACCCCCCAGCGAGAGAAAGACACTCACCTTCACAGCTCCAGACATCCCCTGGAATTAGAGTTTTTGAGGGTCTCCATACACCTTCAAGCAGCACGCAGCCTCTCTTGGATCCTACCTGGTCCCCATGCCGCATTGGTCCCTTCTTCTGTTCCTTCTTCCGGGGAGTGGTGCTGCCCCCCCTGAAAAATGCCGCCATAGGCAAATGCCGTGTTTGCCTTGTGGTAAATACACCCCTGGTAGTTAGAGGTAAAATGAAGCTGATAGGTCCAAAAGAAGGAGGATTGGAGATATGAAATTGTCTGGCCCTTAGAAGGAGGAGTTTTCAGTGGTAAAGTGAGGGGGAGGATGCTTAAGAAATGAAGCTGATTGGCCCAAAGAAGGAGGGAAGGTCTATGGAGAAATGAAATTAGGAGGGGTTTATAGTGTTAAACTGAAGGGGGCGGTGGAAGGGGGCACTTAATAAATGAAGCTAATTGGTCCAGAGTAAAATATGAAGATGCTGAAGAAATTAAACCGGTTAGGGGAAATAATAATTAACAGTACATGTCCCTCATAGGAACACAACTCCTGTACAACACCATTACGCCATATGATTCCTCTATTCCTGACTGCTTCTGCGGTGACCTACCTGACTTAAAGTCCGCAGCAATGAAGAAGGAAGTGACATCACCGCCCTGGAACCGGCAAGTCGCCCTCACCTCTGCCGGAGGCAAAACATTTGTGAGTTTTGCCAAACATGCCAGATTTGGAGATGGTAAGTGTAGGCAAATTTATGTATGATATACACAAGGGTTGGACCAATAAATGGAACTACTACACGATTTGCAGGTGTGAAAGTGACGTCATGTTTCGCTGAAAGCAGAAGTGGTGTGACATTTTTTTTGCTTCCGCTGTGTGATGAGACACCTAGCTAACAGGTGGGAAGCCTCACACTCGTCATTCACTGCCTGCGCTGCTAGTAATATGGAGTCATGTCAGTGCTTACTGAACTTCAATGAGGGGGAATTGTTGGTGCCACTTAGCTGGTGCCGATGGGACTGAAGTTGCCAATTTATTTGCCGTGTCGCAAGGTACAGGATCAAAGGTTATGACATCATATACATCATCTGATGAACATAAGCGTGGTCGACATGGTCAACTGACCGAAAGAGACAAAAGGACATTGCGCAGGATTGTGACCCGGAATAAGAAAATAACTGCTGCAAAAGTGACTGCAGAGCTCAATCTCAGTCCTCATGGGACTGAGATTGAGCTCTGCATTCCGTATTACTCGCAGCGCACATAGTGAATGATGAAAGTCCCACCTGTTAGCTAGGTGTCTCGTCACACAGCGGAAGCAAAAGAATGTTACTTCTGCTTTCAGCTCAAAAGTGGGCGTCACTTTCACACCTGCAAATCATGTAGTGTTTCCATATTTTTGTCTAACAACTGTACATTTTATAGGATAGCCTACAGTAAGTAAGCTACAAGATTTGTTTACAAGATTTTAAACTTTATATAATGTTGTTATTGATCTAAAATCTCATTTTAATAAATACAAGTTTATTGCAGGATTCGTCACACGAGATTCGAAAGCGAGAGAACAGTAACGTTTTCATTTCAGGCTATGAGAGAGATTTACTAAAACTGGAGCATTCAGAATCTGGTGCAGCTGTGCATGGGAGCCAATCAGCTTCTAACTTCAAATTGTTCAGTTATTCTTTGACAAGGAAACTTGGAAGCTGATTGGTTTTGATGCAATGTTGCCCCAGATTTTGTACACTCCAGTCTCTAATTGACATGTATATATTGAGCCATAAAAGGTGGGAGTGGGAGGAGTCACTCCTTTGAGTCATCCAGCTGTGTGTGTAATCTGTGCTTCGACTATTCGGATATGTAAACTACGAAAATTTTTTTGACGAAATGGCTAAAGTGTTACTATTAGCAAAATTATTACTTGCATATACAGTATGATGCAGTCCCTTTCTAGCATTAACGCAGCAGTTTTTGCTTTTCTGGGAACCCCTTTAACATACCTTTTTATTACTTGTTGATCCTACCAGTATACAGTATCTGTTAAAAGTATAACATACTGAAACAGGACAAGCTGCCCAGCAAACATGAAAGTTGCAGGGGTTGGGACAAACCATATAACACTACTGGGGGTACTTACTGCAATATGCTTTTATTCATATTTCCTAAAAATACATTTTATAAATGCAATATCCATTCTCTTATATATAGTTTGTTATAGGGGTACAAAGACATTCATCTGCTGGGTTACTGTAATAAGATATTACAGGGTAATAAGACACTCGGGAGCCGGGTTACTGTAATAAGATATTACAGGGTAATAAGACACTCGGGAGCCGGGTTACTGTAATAAGATATTACAGGGTAATAGGACACTCGGGAGCCGGGTTACTGTAATAAGATATTACAGGGTAATAAGACACTCGGGAGCCGGGTAACCGTAATAAGATATTACAGGGGGAATAAGACACTCGGGAGCCGGGTTACTGTAATAAGATATTACAGGGTAATAGGACACTCGGGAGCCGGGTTACTGTAATAAGATATTACAGGGTAATAAGACACTCGGGAGCCGGGTTACCGTAATAAGATATTACAGGGGGATAAGACACTCGGGAGCCGGGTTACCGTAATAAGATATTACAGGGGGAATAAGACACTCGGGAGCCGGGTTACCGTAATAAGATATTACAGGGGTAATAAGACACTCGGGAGCCGGGTTACAGTAATAAGATATTACAGGGGGAATAAGACACTCGGGAGCCAGGTTACCGTAATAAGATATTACAGGGGGAATAAGACACTCGGGAGCCAGGTTACTGTAATAAGATATTACAGGGTAATAAGACACTCGGGAGCCGGGTTACCGTAATAAGATATTACAGGGGGAATAAGACCCTCGGGAGCCGGGTTACTGTAATAAGATATTACAGGGGGAATAAGACACTCGGGAGCCGGGTTACCGTAATAAAATATTACAGGGGGAATAAGACACTCGGGAGCCGGGTTACTGTAATAAGATATTACAGGGTAATAAGACACTCGGGAGCCGGGTTACCGTAATAAGATATTACAGGGGGAATAAGACACTCAGGAGCCGGGTTACTGTAATAAGATATTACAGGGTAATAAGACACTCGGGGGCCGGGTTACTGTAATAAGATGTTACGGGGGAATAAGACACTCGGGAGCCGGGTTACTGTAATAAGATATTACAGGGTAATAAGACACTCGGGAGCCGGGTTACTGTAATAAGATATTACAGGGGTAATAAGACACTCGGGAGCCGGGTTACTGTAATAAGATATTACAGGGGGAATAAGACACTCGGGAGCCGGGTTACTGTAATAAGATATTACAGGGGAATAAGACACTCGGGAGCCGGGTTACTGTAATAAGATATTACAGGGTAATAAGACACTCGGGAGCCGGGTTACCGTAATAAGATATTACAGGGGAATAAGACACTCGGGAGCCGGGTTACCGTAATAAGATATTACAGGGGGAATAAGACACTCGGGAGCCGGGTTACCGTAATAAGATATTACAGGGTAATAAGACACTCGGGAGCCGGGTTACTGTAATAAGATATTACAGGGTAATAAGACACTCGGGAGCCGGGTTACTGTAATAAGATATTACAGGGGGAATAAGACACTCGGGAGCCGGGTTACTGTAATAAGATATTACAGGGGAATAAGACACTCGGGAGCCGGGTTACTGTAATAAGATATTACGGGGTAATAAGACACTCGGGAGCCGGGTTACTGTAATAAGATATTACAGGGGAATAAGACACTCGGGAGCCGGGTTACTGTAATAAGATATTACAGGGTAATAAGACACTCGGGAGCCGGGTTACCGTAATAAGATATTACAGGGGGAATAAGACACTCGGGAGCCGGGTTACCGTAATAAGATATTACAGGGGAATAAGACACTCGGGAGCCGGGTTACCGTAATAAGATATTACAGGGGGAATAAGACACTCGGGAGCCGGGTTACCGTAATAAGATATTACAGGGGGAATAAGACACTCGGGAGCCGGGTTACTGTAATAAGATATTACAGGGTAATAAGACACTCGGGAGCCGGGTTACGGTAATAAGATATTACAGGGGAATAAGACACTCGGGAGCCGGGTTACCGTAATAAGATATTACAGGGTAGTAAGACACTCGGGAGCCGGGTTACTGTAATAAGATATTACAGGGTAATAAGACACTCGGGAGCCGGGTTACTGTAATAAGATATTACAGGGGAATAAGACACTCGGGAGCCGGGTTACCGTAATAAGATATTACAGGGGAATAAGACACTCGGGAGCCGGGTTACTGTAATAAGATATTACGGGGTAATAAGACACTCGGGAGCCGGGTTACCGTAATAAGATATTACAGGGTAATAAGACACTCGGGAGCCGGGTTACTGTAATAAGATATTACAGGGGGAATAAGACACTCGGGAGCCGGGTTACTGTAATAAGATATTACGGGGTAATAAGACACTCGGGAGCCGGGTTACAGTAATAAGATATTACAGGGGTAATAAGACACTCGGGAGCCGGGTTACCGCAATAAGATATTACAGGGGTAATAAGACACTCGGGAGCCGGGTTACTGTAATAAGATATTACAGGGGGAATAAGACACTCGGGAGCGGGTTACTGTAATAAGATATTACAGGGGGAATAAGACACTCGGGAGCCGGGTTACTGTAATAAGATATTACAGGGGAATAAGACACTCGGGAGCCGGGTTACCGTAATAAGATATTACAGGGGTAATAAGACACTCGGGAGCCGGGTTACCGTAATAAGATATTACAGGGGGAATAAGACACTCGGGAGCCGGGTTACTGTAATAAGATATTACAGGGGTTGTAGGGCACTCATAGCTGATAGCAAGCTGTGTTGTATGCTGACCATGCAATGTAGGGATATAGTCATATTCTGTGTGTATAATTGTATATTCTTTCTCTGCAGACCTGTACTCCGGCTGGGTGTCGGAGGCCTTGAAGTCCAATCTGTGTGTTCAGTTCTGGTTGAACTCCAGGGGAATCCTCCCATCTAATTGCTCTCTGGCATATCACACATATAATGCCCAGAAACTCTCCTTTGACCCGACTGTCACGTTCTCCTCACACCTTGACCACTCCAAGTGGTGTGTAACCTGGTCGGACAGTCCTGGCTGGGCCTGCATCGGTGATATGAACCGGGACAGGGAGGAGATGCAGAGAGGAGGGGGCACCGTGTGCATCCAGGACACCATTGTATGGAAGTCTTTCAAAACCCTGGTGATGGATTATGGAAAGTGTCAGGACAGCTGAGGAAAGAAAGATTACTATTCATCATTTGTATATCAGGATAAATATTAGGACAGGAATTTCGAGGAAGAGGGTTCTGGGGAAAAGACACCGTAACCATTTCATGTGGCACATGGGCTCTGCTTGATAGACACAAAATGGATGTAATGTAATTGTGCAATGTGAAACAGTAAAGTGATACATGAAGTAAAAGGATGCATGGAGTTTGTATACTTCTAGAAGGATTTTTAAGGTTCTTGCATGGTAGTAAAGACATTTCCATGAAGAAACGTCCTTGTCCACTTTTGTTTCATAGGTATAAGCTTCAGGGATCAGCCTCCTTCTATCCTTTCTTCTCTACATAGTGAGTCACTGACCCAGAACAAGGAGTCTTGACTTCACTGGATACATGCTTGCTCTGTATGGAAAAGAAAAGATAGGGATAAGGATGAGAGTTTTGGGCTTACACTCTTATAAAAAACCTCATTTGTTTTTTGTTACTGTTCTGATCCCCAAGGCACAGTAATATTTTTTTCCCATCCTCCTACAGCATGTTGAAGGTTAACTAGCTGGTCAGATGGAATGTCCCATATCACCCCCACAGCTGTCCAACAACACAACCAGCATGGAGATGGCCACATTGATAGCCGGCACTTGTCTGTGGTTCCAAATACCTGCACTAGACAAGCAAGAGGATTGGAGAGGGACAGAAGGCAGACATGTCCTCTCCCTATGCATTTCTTTTGCTGGTCTTGGGCAAGTGCTTTGGCCAGCGATCAATGTGGCTGTCTCCTTGCTAGCTGCGTAGTCCGATGGTTGGAGGAGGAGGAGAGGGGTCGGCTTTCCATCTGACCACATAGCTAGCCTTCCACAGTACAAGGGAAGACTGGAAATAAGTACAGTGGTACCTTGGTTTACGTATTTAATGCGTTCTCCAGGATGTTTCGTATTGCGGAAAATTCGGAAACCAAAGCGTGGTTTCCCATAGGAATGCATTGAAAACCAACTAATCCGTTCCGGAGGTCAGAAAAAAGTAAAAAAAAAAAAAGTCTTTTATCTGTTCAAAACTCTTTATGAAGTGCACTTTAACCCCTTGGTGCCGACGCCTCCTGGCCCTTTAAGGGTTTCAGAAGCCGGGAGGCGGGGCGGGGTTTTAGGGTCATGTGACCACCGTGATTTGCCGTCATGGTGGTCACATGATTGGGAGAGGTCCCGATCGAAAGAGGAGATCGGGACCTTTCCGTTAGTACTGGACATGTGTGCTGGGTGTGTGAAGGGTGCACGCTCTTAGCACATATGTTTTTTTATTAATTGCACGCAAATGTGAGGCCACTCGGCGTCAAGGCCCAGACGCCGGGAGGCCGCACATTTCAGTCCGGCTGGTGCCAAGAGGGTAAAGACATTAAATACTGTACAGTATGGCTCCAAAACTCGATGCAAAAAACCACTCTTAACACCACCACACTCGATGCCACGTGCTACCCACAGACTCCAGCATGCACAGAGGCGGAGCTATGAACCTTCCAGACACAATGCATCCAGTGGAAACTTGCTGCGTATTACGAAAAAACATTTGTAAACCAAAGCATTATTTTCAATGGATTTTCATTCGTAAACCAAAAATTACGTTAACCGAGGCATTCGTAAACCGAGGTACCACTGTACATCATGCCCACTGGACATCCCACTGTGTGTGGTGAGCCTACATATCAATGAATAAAAGAGCAGCGGTATATTGCTGCATAGGTAAGTCTGCACAGTGAACATTCAATACCGAATATATCATTTCTTGCATTGGCTCAGTTGTGACTAGTTTTCTTTAGAGCATATCTCCTGGATTTATTTCTTTATATTAAAAATGTCCCCAGCAATAGTAAAATGTAAAACAAGCAGTTCTGGCTGCATCCTCCCCTCATCTCAAACTTTATCATTCATTTTCCCCATTAAATGTCCCCCAATCTTCCAGGTTAAATAATATTATTATTATTATTATACAGTATTTATAAAGCGCCAATAGTTCGCTCAGCGCTGTACATTACAAAGGGAGACAGAACATGTGACAGAACAATACCAATACAATGCAAAACATGAGGGGATCAAGGGCCCTGCTCTTTCGAGCTTACAATCTAGGAGGGAGGGGGTGGTGGCACAGGAGGAGATAGCTGTGGGGGATGGAGTGGTAGGAAGAGTGGAGGAGGTCGGCAAGTTAGCAGGGGGTGGGGTAGGCTTCCCTGAAGAGATGGGTTTTCAGGGTGCGCCTAAAGGAGAGGAGAGTAGGTGATAATCTGATGGGTTGGGGCAGGGAGTTCCAGAGGATAGGTGACACCCTGGAGAAGTCCTGGAGGCGGGCATGGGAGGAGGAGACCAGGGAACTAGAGAGAAGGAGGTCTTGTGAGGAGCGGAGTGTGCGTGCTGGGCGGTACTTGGATATTAGGTCAGTGATGTAGTTCGGGGCAGTATGGTGGACAGCTTTGTACGTCAGCGTTAGGATACCCAGTAATTGTGAGGGCAGAGGGCCGCGGACCCAGCTCCTCAGAGGCCGTTACCACAGAACCAGAACTCACATTGTACTGGTGGAAAAAAAATGGTACCAATGCACTCTGCATCATTGAGGCCTGCCCAGTGCCAGAAAAGAGGCAAGGAAAACCTCTAGAAAAGAGGAAGCCTCAAGGGCATAGGGGACCCCTGGGCATGGGGAGCCTGGAGTCGGGCTTTAACCAGTTGCCCACTTTCACCCCCATCCTGCTCAGGCCAATTTTCAGCTTTCAGCGCTGTCGCACTTTGAGTGACTATTGCGTGGTCATGCAACACTGTACCCATATGAAATTTGTATAATTTTTTTGAGACATATAGAGCCTTCTTTTGGTGGTATGTATTCACCACTGTGTTTGTTTTTTATTTTTTGCTATACAAACAAAAAAAAGACTAAAAATTTTGAAAGACTTTATTTTTTTCCTCTTTCACGGAGATTGAGAGCTGTGAAAATGTGGAATAGACTCCCTCAAGAGTTGGTTCTGGCCAGCTCAGTGGGTTGCTGTAGTAAAGTCCTGGATTCTTTCTTAGATGCACAGAATATAACTGGATATAACATTTATAGGTAAAGTTGATCCAGGGAATATCCGATTGCCTCTCGGGGGATCAGGAAGGAATTTTTCTCCCTGCAGGAGCAAATTGGATCATGCTTTGCTGGTTTTTTTTTTTGCCTTCCTCTGGATCAACTGTGGGTATAGGATTATAACTTTTTTTTTTTTTAATGGCTGAACTGGATGGACTTTTGTCTTTTATCAGGCAGACTAACTATGTAACTATGCACTATGTAACTATGATGTGTGTTGCTGAGGCTGCACTGATGGGCACTGACGAGGAGGCACTGATGAGGCTGCACCAATAGATGGCCCTGATGGGCACCGATAGGCGGCACTGGCTGATGGCACTGACGGACACTGTTGGGGCTGTATTGGGCTGCCTCTGATTTTTAACCTCTTCACGCCGGCAGCACAAAATGTGCGGCCTCCCGGCATCTGGGTCTAGACACCGAGCGGCCACACATTTGCGTGCAATTAACAAAAAACATGTGCTGAGAGTGCACACCCTGCGTGCTCCCAGCACACTTGTCCAGTACTCACGGAAAAGTCCCGGTCTGATCTTTCGATCGAGACCTTTTCTGATCATGTGACCACCGTGATGATGCGTCATGGCGGTCACATGATCCCTAAACCCCGTTCCGCCTTCTGGCTTCTGAAACTCTTAAAGGGCTGGGAGGCGCCGGCGGGAAGGGGTTAAATACATTTGCCAACAACTGGCTCTTCTCTTTCCTCATGCTGTGATAGCGTGAGGAAAGTGCAGCCGATTACCAGTAACTGTATTTACATTGTGATCAGCTGATCACATGGAAAAAGGGCACTGTGATTGGCCCCTTACTATCAGTTGTGTCCAACGGACACCGATCACAGAGCTGGCTGGGGTCCCTCAGGAGCAATAGTTCTGGAGGACGTCATGACGCCCTCCCAGAACTAGGCGACCGCACTGTTGCCGTCATTCGGCTATAGCCCGGTCGTCAAGTGGTTAAGTTGTCAATGACCTGCCAGTTTCTCTGGAAGGCGTCCCGAACCCCTAGTTCCCTTATGGCCAACCTGTGGCCCAAGGGCCTCATGTGGCTCTTCTCTATATGATGCGTGTCCCTCAGACCTCAGCAGTCTGTAGTGGGAACATTGATTGGGGTAATAGCATTGCTCTCTTCTAGCCTCATGTAACATCTTCCCAGTTTTGTATTGTGTTCTGCAGGGGCGGACTGACCATTTGGAAACTCGGGCACTGCCTGAGGGCCTGGGGTCAGTAGGGGGCCCCATGAGATGCCCCTGGTACCTTTTTCATAGGCTTTTTTGAGTTTGGGCAAGGACACAGGGGCCCCATGATCCCCTATTGCCCGGGGGCCCCATGATCCCCTATTGCCTGAGGGCCCCATGAGTTGTTAGTCCGCCCCTGGTGTTCTGTACAATACCCCCATCCAAATATATATCCTGTCCACACTCTCTGACCCTCATTTCCTCTATTAGGTCAGCATTTTCTGACAGTTTTTTCAATCATAATATATACAGAACATTATGTGTGGCCCTTTGGTGATGTCAAGGGTTGCATCTGAGGTCCCCTGTAGCTCATAAGTTGACAGCCACTGCCCTAGTTGCTGTGTAATTTGTGTGAACCTGCAGTATGTAATATAGCCACTAGAGGACAGCATTCCACCATTCACTTCTTCACACCCCCTTCTTATGTAAGTATAGCATACAGTGATTGATCCAGCCATGACCAGACCAGGGGAACCTATTGCCCACAAATAAACTCAGTTTTTTTTTTTTGTCTGACAACGAAGACAATATCCTCCTCCGTATCACACAGTACAAATTTGTTTTAGTAATATATTAAACTGTGTATGCTGCAGTCCATACCGTACACTTCTAATAGGACACAGAGTCACTACCATTTCACAGAATTTCATTAACGTATGCAGTAAATCGTTAACCATT